GCTATATTTTGGGGCTGACCGGTCTGAAAAGGGCATTTTGGACATTTTTGGGATACTTCCTAAAAAGATCAACAAAAAGACATGAAATCGTTTAAAGTAATATGATTTTTTTAATGTTTTAAATATTTCTATAAAGGTTTACATGTGTGCTACAAATTTTATGATTTTTGAGCTGGGGTCTCTTACACCGTTACCATGGCAACAAAATAAAAATGTGTAATTTTACGTATTTTTCATGTGTAATCCGTGTATTTAATCATAAAAACTTATTTATTTTTTGATACTGGCTTATGATATTTTGCATGAAGGTGTATAACAATAAGACAGTGTATCTCATAAAAATTAAAACCGTCAAATGACCTTAACCTTTGATCTCAAGGTCAAGATACTTGATTTTTTACATTTTCTTATCTGAAGCACACCTTTTCCTCTCCCTTGATATAATAATATGATGTGTCGCATACCATGGATGATGACCCTGATCTTTAACCTTCAAGGTCAAATAAAAAGGCATGGTCAAATATGTAATTTTATATGTCACCCTAAAACCAAACATACCAACCAAAACGGTCGACACGGCTAAAAATAGAACTTAGGAGGTAAAATGCAAGTTTTATGAAAATAAGGAGATGTGGTATGATTGCCAATGAGACAACTATCGACCAAAGTTAAAAAAAAAGTGGATGTAAGCAATTATAGGCAACTGTACGGCCTTCAACAATGAGAAAAACCCATACCGTTTGGTCGGCTGTAAAAGGCCCCGACATGAAAAATATGAAACAATTCAATTGAGAAAACTACCGGCCTAATTCATATCATTTGTCTATTATCTTGAAAACTGCTATGGATAGAGAAAATCTTACAGGGGCAGGAATTTTCAAAATGTTGAGATCTTCCTACCGTCTATTTAAGTCAAAACTGTCATATGAGCTCGCGTTGGAGTTTTTGCCCTTAAATGACAAATATTTTTTGTCTATTATTTTAAATTCTCCAATAAATAGAAACTTTTCAATAAAAAAAAATCGTAAGGGGTTTCTCGGAACCCTGTGTCTCGCCTGTGATTGCTGCTGTCAGTGTAAAAGTGTAATGTTGACCTAAAAAGTCAGTCCATTTATCAGTAAAATACAGAATTTTAAAAAAATCAAATTTTTTTAGATGCTTTTTCTTGATCTTGAAGATTAACGTCTGTCCAAGTTTCATAACAATCCATGAAGGTTTACAAATTTATCATGTCAAAAAAAAATCAATCCCAGACTGTAAATGTAAACTATGAAAAAACCTAAGTCCATCTATCAGAAAAATACTGAAATGAAAAAAAATATATTTTCAAAAGTTTGCTTCAGACATTATCTCTTATTTATAAAAAAGCTTCTGCCAAGGTTTTATAAAATTGTATGAAGGTCTGCAAAAATAATTGATGTGTAACAAATTTTAACCCCAGACTGTAACTATATGTAAATTGTATAAAGAACTAAGTCCATGTATCAGTAAAATACGTAAAATGAAAATAAATATTTTTGAAATTTTTCTCTGAATACTGTATTTTGGTCATAAACAAGCTTCTGTCCAAATTTCATAAAATCCCATGAAGGTTTGATAAAGTTATTGATGTCTAAATTTTTTTTTATCTAATTGTTGACGCCGCCGCCGCCAACGACAGAAGATAGGATTGATATGTCTCGCTTTCGAGGCATAAATAGTGCAGGATCAATAAAAATTATTAGCATGACAAGATGTACAAACAATTCAATATTGCCAAACTCGTCAGTTTACTTCTTATTGGAGTTATTGTCCTTTAATGACGATTTTAAACATTTATTTGCGTGTTTGCCTATTATCTGTAAAACTGTAATAAAAGAGGGACAAAAGATACCAGAGGGACAGTCAAACTCATAGATCGAAAACAAACTGACATCGCCATGGCCAAAAATAAAAAGATAAACAGACAAATAATAGTACAGATGACACAATATAGAAAACTAAAGACTAAGCAACACGAACCCCACCAAAAACTGGGGGTGATCTCAGGTGCTCCGGGAGGGTAAGCAGATCCTGCTCCACATGTGGCACCCGTCGTGTTGCTTATGTTATTAAAAATCCGGTAAATAGTGTAATTCGGTAGGTCACATTCGTGAAAAGGGAAGGGTATTGTAGTTACGACATAAGGAACATATCCGATATCACCTGTGAAACGGTTATTCCATAACGGTCAACCAACTCGTGATGGCGTCCGTAAAATTTACGAAGGGATGATTTCAATTTCACCATTTGGAACTCTTGGTTTAATAGCTTCCTTGTAAGCAGCAATCCTCTATCAAGGAAATCATGATTGGAAATACAAGCCCGGGAATATCGTATCAATTGGGAGATATATACTCCGTATGCAGGCGCTGCTGGAATGTTGCTACATAGAAATGGAAAGTTCACAATTGGGAAGCTGAACTCAACTCTTTTGTCGTAAAGTTTTGGATTCAACCGACCCTCATTGTCAATTTCTAGATGTAATTCAAGATATGAGGCAGACTTAACTGTATCTGTAGTATCCTTTATCTCTAGTTCGATGGGATAAATTCGTTCAACATAGTCACCAAATTTTGTATTATTTAGTGAGAGAACATCATCTATATAACGGAACGTAAAGTTAAAGGATATTACTAACTTCTTATCTTTCTTCCTAAGAAGTTCCTGTATGAAGTCAGCCTCATAATAATAAAGAAACAATTCGGCAAAAAGAGGGGCACAGTTGGTTCCCATTGGAATTCCGACAGTCTGTTGGAAAACAAGTCCTCCAAACGTAACAAATATGTTGTCAATCAAGAAATCAAGCATCTTGATAATGTCAGTTTCAGTGAATTTTTTGTTTGAATCAAGTTCCTCTTCAATTGGACACGAACCAGATATTATACGTTCGACTTTCATCTTTTATTTATTATCATAATGCATTTTACTGTTCACTTATTTGATTCTGTTTTACTGTAGTACATTTACAAAAAGTAATGTTTATAACATTTTGTTAACTTGGCCAAAATACTTAGTCATATTTGAAGACAGGTGATCACATTTTATTTATTCTGAAAACAAAGAATTCCTTCGTAGCTGTTTGCGCTAATATGGCACTGCTGATGTCTTGAGACATGGACAGAAATGGGTCAAGATGCGCAATTCATTTCAGTTATGCGGTAATGGTAGCCTTTTTCTCAATTCCTCTGCCCTTATAGTTAACTTTGATATGAACGATGGCTATCATCAAAATTGACACATTGTCACATATGTGATTAAATTATCGGGGTACAACGAGAAATTCATTTCATTGTTTTGACACACCCGAAAAGCATTGCACGGCTTCGTGAGGTAAACAATCCATTTTTGCACACAATATGTTGTATGAAAATTTAGTTCGTTGTATACATTTAATAACTCCATATTTTTCACACCTTTATTCTATGTTCCGTTCTATACAATTCATCACAAATTGTGAAGTTCAGTCACTTGTTAAAATTTAAACATGTCCGATATCGCTACACCGATATTTGTTTACGCACTAATTCTAAGTTCCTCAATTTGAGGCGAATTAGGGATATTATCCATATCGAAATCCATAGATCTGATTTTCTTAATATCATTGTATGATCTTCTTCGGTATGACTTTTTGAATAACTCTATGCATTTCTGTTCATTTCTGAAAGAAAAGAGGTTGTTCTAGCAATATAAGGCTTTACCCTTATATCGCTATATTTGTTTATTCTAGATACAATGTGTAAGTATAATTGATTTCTTCCAGTATACCTTCACAGGTCACAATTAGAAAGAAATATCTTAATATGACAACCTTCAATATCAATATAAAAAACCAGTTAAAGCATTAAACACAATTTTCTGATGTCTAACAGTGCATTTGAACTAAGAACCTATGCCAAAATGTAACGTTAAATGTAACGTTTTGTGTCACCCCCCCCCCCCCCCCCCCCCCCCCGCCAATAATGGTTAAATTATTGGTGTGCAACATATGTATCAAATACTAGTACGAAGTGTAATATTTCCCTTGCATTATCGGCTATTCCTGTAAATTTGGATGCTAATGGTATTAACATGTCTTCTTTGTTACATGTTGACTTTCAATTCAAAAATACTAAATATTTCCAGATGAAGTAAGGTTAGTTAGTCATTAACTTCATCTATACACTGTGCTTTTTTAGCTTCTGGTGTAAACAAAGATTATGATTGATACTAAAAGAAGTTCTCCTGTCCTGTACCAGTAATACATTTCAAAATCAAAAATATTGCTGTTGTTTATATATAATGTTAATCTAGAACCAACTGAATTTAATTGTACATAACAGAATTAACTGTGACAACTAGGTATTTATAAAAGAGAACTTACCTCCATTTTCATAATGTGCTTTGGTGTACAACATGCAATTATCCATAAGTAAGCCTGACAACTTCTTAGAAAAGCTCGCAAATTAGATGAAGATGTGCAATTCATTTCATGTAGGCGGTAATGGTTACCTTTTCTTAATCCTACTGCCCATATCGTAAACTTGGGTATATATGATCGGTCGTTTCGAAGCTAAATCAATACCACATATGTGCTTGAATTTCCAGAGTGCGAAGTGAGATTCTTTTTGACGGTTTTTACATTAAGCACACACCGAAAAGGCTTTTGTGATGAGGATTCTCGAAGCAAAAATCATTTTTGTTTGTTTGCAGACAATAAGCTCCATGAAAATTTAATTCGTTGCAAACATTAAATAACTCCATCGTTTTACGCCTTTATTCTATGTTCCTCCGCTTCTCCAATCTGCCCGAATGGTTAAGCTCAGTCATTTAATAAAAAATTGCAACATGTCCAATATCACTGCACAGAGATTTTTAGTTTATGCACTATATTTTTACTTATATCTCAATTTAAGGCACATTATGCATTTTGTAAGACTTTGAATTACAGTTTATCACTTTTCTGCATGGTTGATTTTATAATCATCATGGATACATACAAATAATGCCTTCCAATACTATGTTGAAGTGTAATCATATTTGTATTCGGAGTATTATATTTGAAATTATTGGTAATTATGAATGTCAAAAAAAAAATTAAACTGGTTTCTGAATGTGTTCAAAAGTGAGTTATAATGTGGCGTCACCAATTGACTTCTCAATAAATGCTGGCATACGACGCTACTAGTATGGTAAGCACAATATATTCTCAAACGAATAATTCTGGAATAGCCTTTGTGGTTTATGATGTATTACTTATTATTTGCCTCAGAATCGTGATTTGTGTGTATGTACAAAAATGATCGTGTACGTTAATGTAATTTATAATCATCTTTTTTACTCCATTCATTTTTCAATATATTAAAAACATATTCTCTAATATTAGATTTAAAATCAGTATATGGTATTTCACATTAAGATTTTAATTAAAAAAATCGGAACAACAGAGACACTGAACTGCAACAAACAAAACGCCAACATACATAGAAACGGGATATTTGATAACAACTGCCATATTCCTGACTTGGTACAGGACAATTTAAGAAAAAATGGATGTGTGAACCTGGTGTTAAGGCTAGCCAAACCTCCCTCTTATATGGCAATGTTAAAAAATGTCGCTTAAATGACAACACTACCTGACAGGAAAACAATACAAACAAACACAAGAACACTCAGCACAGAGAAATGCATAAATAAATAATGTAATAGCACATTACAACATGTAAACCACAAAATAACAATGGACATCTCCCAATAACGACAGCACAGGACACCACAATCTGCAGATCACATAAATGGTTCAACGCCACAAAAAGCGACTTATTTTTGTGACGTATAATCCTGAAATCATGTTGAGTGTATAAATACCGAGACAAGTCGTATAGCAATGCGAATTGACACTCGGCAAAATAGTCATATTCGGGAATATGTCACGTTCGGTACTTAACAGACAGGCGACAAAGATGGTAAAACCACAATCTAAGACGTGTTAACAATGTTGTTAGTTAGTTTAGACACAGACACATCGTATAGATCAACCAATTCGTGATGGTCTCCATAAAATTTATGGATTGTCATCTTTCCTCCTCATAACTCTGTTGGAGCAGTTTCTGTGTAAGGAGCACACTCATGTAAATGAAGTCCGTATAGTGCGAACATACATGAGCATAACATATCACTTGAGATACAAAAACACAATACGATGTAGCAGAGGGTATGTTACTGCTGAAAAATATAAAATTCATAATTGGGAAGTTGAAATCATCCCGTTTGTAATAGATTTTAGTGTGAAGTCGTCCATCTGTGTCAATATTGAGGAAAATATCAAGGAATGAAGCAGTCCTTCAAGTATGTTAATGTTCGATGTTAAAAGAAATATAACTGAATATAAAGCTGCACATGTGTGTTCTAAAAGTTTGTAATTGTGTATGATGTAATTTTCTCAACTGAAATACTGTTACCGTTTTCAAGAAGACGTAACCCTGATATTGTTGTACATGTAACTGCCGTCTTCTATTATTAGATTCTATCATAACATTACAAAAAATATTGATAAATCAAATCATTTCAGTCAAATGTTTCATTTATTCTAAACATGTGTTCTTTGAAAATATTAAAAATCATTTATTTTAAAAAGTATTCCACTAAATATCTTAAATTATCTCCCATGTGGGAAGGTTTGTACGATTTTGAGCTCATCATGAAAACTTAAATAATTCGGATATTTCGTTGCACATAATGATGAATATATTGACGAATTGTGTAAAATATTAACTTTGATGATTACCACCACGATATGTTTGCAAGAAAATGTGAAAAAAACATTGTTATTTGGTGAATTTCGTCTTGGATCTCTACAAATGTGAATACTACTCATGAACTGTAAGTCTGTTTACATTATATACATTATATACCAGAAAGGAAAATACTTATATAACTGTAAACAATCTTCATATATATGCCTAGAAAGAAAGCAAGCCAAATAAGAGATTTAAAACTATGTCATCAACCACCCAGTCCACACCGACAACAATGTCGTGTTCAAAACATAAAATTAAAACAACGTCCAGTAAACCAGAGCCTATTACATCTACACCTATTGCAACTTCATCTATTAAACAACACCATGAACAGAAACGTAAGCGCGAAGCGTTGTCTTCGGAATATTCTGTTGATTCTTTCGTCCTTGATCTTGATTCAGAAAAAATAAAAGTCAAAATTCATTGGATAATCGACAAATCAGTTAATGCGGCTACAGAAGCAGCTATCCAAGCTGCCAAAAAACTATCCAAACTGGTCTCGAAGCCATTTTTAGCCACAGAATTGACGTGTTAGAAAGCAGGATCTTTGACTTAGAAAAGAAATACGATAAACAACTTGAATGGAATAGCAAAATTACGAAAGATCTCGTCGAACTTCTTAACGACAATAAAGCTAAAACACTGAAGATATCCACCCTTCATTCAGAGCTGAACATGGTACAGAAAGACTTAAACAACATCGTTCTCAAATAAATGATACTGCTCAATATACAAGAAAAAACACCGTGAAAATATTTGGAATTGTGCAAACTGAGGAGAAAGAAAATACTCACGATGTTGTTCAAAAACTGTTGAATGAAAAGCTCTCTCTTGATAACATTGACATCGAAATTGCACACAGAATAGGTCCGGTAAAAGATTCTGATCTAAATGTTAACACCAGAAGACCCATCATCTGCAAAATGCTCCGTAGAACTGATAAAATTAAAGTCATAGCATCCCGTCGTAAACTTAAAGGCCTAAAAATTTCTATTAGTGATGAACTTACTAAACTGAACTTTGAACTTTTAAAAAGTCTCCAGGAACACGAGCTTATAGATCAAGCTTGGTCTTACAATGGTAAAATTTTTGCCAAACACAAAAACAATGATATCAAAAGAATAATTGACATTGCTGATGTTAGTAGGGTCTTCGAAAGCTGATTTATTTACTAAATTAACACATAGTGTTGTTGAAAAACTTGTTGTTTCTTGTGAGTTGATGCATTTTCTTTAGAATATATATACACATAACTTTATTTATGTTGATTCATGAAACCGATTCTTTTTATATTTATATATATATATATATTCTTAATTGTAAAATTATTTTATTAATCTCATGAGCAACTTATTCCTATGGTTTGCTTCACCTTTTGGATAAATATGGTTTTTTTTGGCATTCATTGCCTGTGTTAATTTAATTTTTTTTTTTGCTATGTGTACCTTGCTTGTATTTTTTTGTCTACTTGTTTTATACCGTTTGTTTACATATAAGTTTTGTTCATATGTAGTGATCCATAATCCCGCAACATTCCTCTTAAAGCTTGCTAACCTATGATCGGGGTTGATCATTATAGAGCGTGTATCGGACGATTTCATAATACTATTGTATCTAAGCAATTACGAATAAACAGTTCTCACATTTTGAGTAACACTTTGTCACACTCTCGTTACGTGTACGTCTTTTTTTCAGTTATTACCGTTATCTCATTTTCTGTTTCATTACACAAGCTAGCAATGATGATGTTTTTATTACTAGTCACATCGGAAACTATTCATCCTAATCCGGGTCTGTCCGGGGATCTTTCTGTATGTCACTTAAATGCACGTAGCTTATACTCTTTTGATAGCGTATTAAAGACTTACCGAATTAAGCTAGACGAAATTGAGTTCGCACTGTGTAACGAATTCCAATATGATGTGGTCTGTATTAGTGAAACTTGGTTAAAACCAGATATATCATTGAAGATATTAAGATTGATAATTATAATATCCACAGGCGAGATAGGGCTGACGGGTCGGGTTACGGTGGTGTAGCCATATATGTTTCCGACCGATTATATTCTATGCGCCATCAGGAGTTAGAAATGCAGGGTCTCGAATTCTTATGCATTGAAGTCAAAACCAAGGATAAGTCTATCCTTGTAAGTGTTTGTTACAGAACGCCGACTGTAACGGCCAATCAACGTCAAAAATTCACTGATAGCTTTACATCAGTCGTTGAAAATATGAAATCACACAGCCCAGATGTTTGCTTGATTTTAGGGGACTTCAACGACCGGTGTGTTTCATGGTTTGATAGTCATAGTCACAGCGAGCTCGGTCTATCTCTTTTTAATCTGGCACATAGGTATGGTCTATCACAATTAATTGATGAACCGACCAGGTATACGGATAGCAGTGCGACACTGTTAGACCTTATATTTACTGACAATGAACGTTGTGTATCGAACTTCGGGGTTAGTCCCCCCTTTCTTAATCTCGACCATTGCATTATTTTCTGTAAACTATCCCTCAAATTAAGTAGATCACGTTCCTTTCAGCGTCGTGTCTGGGATTACAAGTCAGCTGATTTTAATAGTCTGAATACTGCATTATATAACGCTCCCTTTGATTCCGCATATGAAATTTTTGACGATGTAAACGACATTGTTAGTTATACGATTGACCTTATCACCTCCGCTTGTTCTGAATTTATACCGAATAAAATAGTAACTATTCGTCATAAGGATAAACCATGGATGAGTAACGAGGTTAGGCGAGCGATTCGTAAGCGTGATCGTTGCTTCAAAAAATATCAACGGACCCGAAGAGACGCAGACAAGTTATATCACATAGTTGCTAGGAGAGAGGTCAATCGCTTAAAAAGAGACGCAAAACAAAGATATGAAATTAATATCATTCGCTCATTTTCTAGAGAAACCCTTAATCCTAGGAAATTTTGGTCCCTTAGTAAATCTGTTTTAGGTTACAATTCAGATAGAGCTATCCCCCCTTTGAAAGATAACATGAATCTGATATCTGAAAATCTTGAAAAGGCAGAACTCCTTAATTGTTATTTTTCTGCACAGATGCACTTAGGTCTGCATGTGAGTAAGAATGAGCGAGTGATTGGATGGGTATGTAGTCAAATTACATTCGTATGTCTTGTCCTGTACATATTGTCTTGTCTTGTGTTTAACATATTTGTAAACTTAAAAAAAAAAAATCGTTAATTGTGAATCTGTATATATCTATGTTGAGGAGACCCACACGTAGTCTCTGGCTGTTGACAATCCTCTTTAAATAAATAAAGAATTAAATTAAATTAAATATCTTTTATCGATGTTCATTAACATACATTAATTTTCCGCCAAATCTTTAATATATTTGTTCATGTTGTCACAACAAAGCAATGTACTATTCTGAAACCTGCGAATCCCTTTAGAACAGCTTAGTCGAACATGATACTGCTCTAGACTTGCGGCATAGAGATGACATTTTAAAATAAACTCATCATAGATACCAGGATTAAAATTTAATTTTAGTTTATTATATAAATGCATTTTTCTGCATGATTGATTATGAATACACCATTGACAATGCCCATGTCTTGAGACATATAGTATATATCTTAAGATATTAAATTAAACTGTAAAAGTATTTGCAATGGGGCCGTCTATTGACATTTTGTTTGTCGACGGTTATAGCTTTCAAAAACAGATTAAAATGGTTCCTGAATGAATTCAAAAGTTTAATTCATAAAAAAAGTATGTTCGACAGACAGATTGACAGCTCAAGCAATGACAGGATACGACAATACTAGCACGGTAACCACTACACATACTCATATGGCTAATTTTGAGATTGTCGTTGTGCGAAAAACAAAATGTAAATGGTGTATCAATTATAAGTCCACTCCAAAACATGATATGTGTGTATTCAAAATTATGATCGTGCACGCTACTTCGCTCTTTTAAGAACCATTAAATGATACACTATAAAGTTTAACCTGTGAAGTGTAAACTTTTTCTATCAAATTGTATAGACGTACTACCTCACTTCATATATGTTTTAACTGTTGTCATTATTTAAGACAAGAATAAATACATGTTCGATCAAATATGTAAAAACGCAACAAACATATTTTTGATAAATATTCCGTTTCAACTTCACGAATAATACACGATGGTTTTGAAGTATAGATTCTGGGTACCGACGTTGTTTATCATTTTAATAACGTGTTATAGTATTCTTTTATTTGTCTTTATGAACATTACTTTTACTTTTTAGTCTGTTTTTGGTGATATCCATTTGACGTGGCTCTGTACTTATACATCCCGTCATTGTGTTATTGTGCTGTGGTAAATTTTTGTATTCTTGTTTTTCATTTTCGCTAATGTGCTTTGTGTATATACCTTTTTGAGTTTCTTTGTTATATATGACGTGGCTCTGTACTTATACATCCCGTCATTGTGTTATTATGCTATGGTAAATTCTTGTATTCTTGTCTTTCATGTTTACTAATGTGCTTTGTCTATATGCCCTTTTGTCTTTCTTTGTTACACATTTATTTGTTTTTATAGTAATTAAGATTATAAAACAATGTTGACTGCTGTACCCCAATTTTTGACATTTTTACCTATTATGTCTGTTTGTTTTGTTCACACATCGTTTTAAATATAATAGAATTTTATGCAACTGTCATAAAAATTAGAGGTTTAGCTAGCTTTAATCCAGGTTAAATCCACCATTTTCTACAAAAGAAAATGCCTGTATCAAGTCAGGAATATGACAGTTGTTATCCATTTGTTTGATAAGTTTGAACTTTTGATTTTGTCATTTGATTAGGAACTTTCCGTTTTGAATTTTCCTCAGCGTTCAGTATTTTTGTGATTTTACTTTTTGTTATGTCTAAAGTCAAGAAATTAATATATTTTTGCATACGATTATTCACATTTGTTTTGGTATGAAATAAGGACATTCAACAAAAGTATTGACAAAATATTTAATTGATTAAGTCGTCCATGAAATCTTTTCTGAAAATACTAAGCCTTACAAAGATATTTTAGGATGCACTTCTGTCACAATAGACAAAGCAATTTCCCATAGAAACTCCCTTTACGGCTAAAACTGTGCCAATTTCACTATGAAGTTTCGTAAAAAGATTTATCCTGGAATGGAACGTTGATAAGCATTATTATTTTATTCAAAGGTCAAAACATAGGACTGTGCGGCAAATTTTCAACACTTATATGTCTCGAACTTCTAAGAGTTTAAACTTGAACTAAATCCTGTAATACCTCTCCCTTCACTTCGGGTCTTCATCAGAATTCAATATTGCCGCTTTCCATGTGTATTTATACGATTAACATTCCCAAGTTATGACTCTATGAGATGAAACATAGAGATCATACCTTGGAACCAGGACGTAAACAAAACAAAATATCTATTAATCTAATATAGCTCTCCAAAAGAGACGCAGTTTGTCAAACAGCTGTATTTATTAAGTGCAACCTTTAGATAGAAGATACAAATATCGATACATTATAGATGTCTACGGACTTGTTTTATCGGTATGTCATATTTGAATTTTGAAGACAATAAGCCTTACAAAATATGTTATGCCTTGAGACAAAAAAAAAATATCTTGATACTTTGTGGATGTTTAAGGACTTGCTGTATTGTATTGGTATATAATATTTGTACTTTGAAGGTAAAATGCTGTATAAATAGAATACGGCAGGAAATTAACATTAGCATTCTATTAATTTACAGATTTGAATAATGGTTAAAAATTGTCACGTACATGCATATTCATACGTTTTTGTTTATATTCTCACTCACAGACAAAAACTGTATTTCATGAGAAGTGTACATGCACGGTGAATCACATTTTCAAGAAATGTAAGTACATATAAAGATATAAATGCGTGTTTTGAACGGTAATTTTCGTGCCTGATGCAATTTACACGACTTTATAATTTTACCGGTGTTCCGATTCAAATAGGCATATACCTGATATTGAATTTAACTCAGTAATCTATTTTATTCATTCTGTACAAAAAGTCATGTGTGATGTTGAGGTGTTATCAATATGTATACGTTATACTATGCCCTTTACTAAATCCCTTTTACCGGTATGCATGTACGAAAAATGATTGATTGATTGATTGTTGGATGCTTAACGTCCAGTGGCAAATATTTAATGCATGTTCGGGACGAGAAAAAATTAGTAATAAATACAATAGGTAGGTCCTAAAATAGAGGCCGTCTGGGATGAAGGTATGAAAAATTTGAACTGCCACTGGAAAGTGAGGGTATATTGGATAGGGACATAAATTAAGCCTTGTAAATGGTTAAATACGGACCCGTCATAGAGTTTTTGCAAGAGTTCTTAACGTACAAAAAACGTGGCACTCTCTATACACGTGGCATCGCATTTAACTTCCCCATTCTGACCGGACATGGCTGCGAAATTTAACATCCCAAACAGCGAACGGACGCTCCACTTTGGCAATGGTTTTACTGCCGGTCGGAGGAAGACCAGTGATGATTAAGAACTATTACCATGTGACCCTAGGGGGGTATGAAAAGAAACAAGTATCCCTACGGAACAGTAGAACTTTTATGATATTGCTCATGTCTTGAGACATGGAAAAATGTCTTAAGACGTTTAATTTTAATTTATTATATAAATGCATTTTTCTGCATGGTTGATTATAAATACAACATTGACAATGCCCATGTCTTGAGACATATTGTAAATATCCTAAGATATTTAGTTTAACTGTAAAAGTATCTGCAATGGGGCCGACTATAGAAATTTTGTTTGTCGATATGGTTATGGCTTTGAAAAAACAGATTACAATGGTTCCTGAATAAATTCATAAGTTCACAAAGTATGTTCGACAAACAGAATTACAGCTCATGCAATGAATGGATACGACAATACCAGCACGGTTACCACAACACATACTCATGTGGCTAATTTTGAGATTGTCGTTGTGCGAAAAACAAAATGTAAATGGTGTATTAATCATTAGTCCACTCCATAACAGGATCTGTGTGTAATCAAAATTATGATCGTACACGTTACTTCGCTCTTCCAAGAACCATTAAATGATACACTATAAAGTTTAACCTGTGAAGTGGTTACTTGTTCTATCATACTGTATGGAAGTACTACCTCACTTCATATATGTTTTAACTATTGTCATTATTTTCAAAGAATAAATACGTGTTCGATCAAATATTTAAAAACCCGGCAAACATATTTTGTTATGTACACAGTCAAGAAATTAATATATTCCTGCATACGATAATTCACATTTATTTTGGTATAAAAAAAGGACATTCAACAAAAGTATTGACAAAATATTTAATTGATTAAGTCGTCCATGAAATCTTTTCTGAAAATGGAAAATAATTCCAAAATACTAAGCCTTACAAAGATATTTTATGTCTATAGGGTGCACTTCTGTCACAATAGACAATGCAACTTCCCATAGGAACTCCCTTTACGGCTAAAACTGTGCCAATTTCACTATGAAGTTTCGTAAAAAGATTTATCCTGGAATGGAACTTTGATAAGCATTATTATTTTATTCAAAGGTCAAAACATAGGATTGTGCGGCAAATTTTCAACACTTATATGCCTCGAACTTCTAAGAGTTTAAACTTGAACTAAATCCTGTAATACCTCTCCCTTCACTTCGGGTCTTCATCAGATTTCAATATTGTCGCTATCCATGTGTATTTATACGATTAACATTTCCAAGTTATGACTCTATGAGATGAAACATAGAGATCATACCTTGGAACCAGGACGTAAACAAAACAAAATATCTATTAATCTAATATAGCTCTCCAAAAGAGACGCAGTTTGTCAAACAGCTGTATTTATTAAGTGCAACCTTTAGATAGAAGATACAAATATCGATACATTGTAGATGTCTACGGACTTGTTTTATCGGTATGTCATATTTGAATTTTGAAGACACTAAGCCTTACAAAATATGTTATGCCTTGAGACAAAAAAAAAAATATCTTGATACTTTGTGGATGTTTAAGGACTTGCTGTATTGTATTGGTATATAATATTTGTACTTTGAAGATAAAATGCTGTATAAATAGAATACGGCAGGAAATTAACATTAGCATTCTATTAATTTACAGATTTGAATAATGGTTAAAAATTGTCACGTACATGCATATTCATACGTTTTTGTTTATATTCTCACTCACAGCCAAAAACTGTATTTCATGAGAAGTGTACATGCACGGTGAATCACATTTTCAAGAAATGTAAGTACATATAAAGATATAAATGCGTGTTTTGAACGGTAATTTTCGTGCCTGATGCAATTTACACGACTTTATAATTTTACCGGTGTTCCGATTCAAATAGGCATATACCTGATATTGAATATAACTCAGTAATCTATTTTATTCATTCTGTACAAAAAGTCATGTGTGATGTTGAGGTGTTATCAATATGTATACGTTATACTATGCCCTTTACTAAATCCCTTTTACCGGTATGCATGTACGAAAAATGATTGATTGCTTGATTGTTGGATGCTTAACGTCCAGTGGCAAATATTTAATGCATGTTCGGGACGAGAAAAAATTAGTAATAAATACAATAGGTAGGTCCTAAAATAGAGGCCGTCTGGGATGAAGGTATGAAAAATTTGAACTGCCACTGGAAAGTGAGGGTATATTGGATAGGGACATAAATTAAGCCTTGCAAATGGTTAAATACGGACCCGTCATAGAGTTTTTGCAAGGGTCCTTAACGTACAAAAAACGTGGCACTCTCTATACACGTGGCATGGCATTTAACTTCCCCATTCTGACCGGACATGGCTGCGAAATTTAACATCCCAAACAGCGAACGGACGCTCCACTTTGGCAAGGGTTTTACTGCCGGTCGGAGGAAGACCAGTGATGATTAAGAACTATTACCATGTGACCCTAGGGGGGTATGAAAAGAAACAAGTATCCCTACGGAACAGTAGAACTTTTATGATATTGCTCATGTCTTGAGACATGGAAAAATGTCTTAAGACGTTTAATTTTAATTTATTATATAAATGCATTTTTCTGCATGGTTGATTATAAATACAACATTGACAATGCCCATGTCTTGAGACATATTGTAAATATCCTAAGATATTTAGTTTAACTATAAAAGTATCTGCAATGGGGCCGACTATAGAAATTTTGTTTGTCGATATGGTTATGGCTTTGAAAAACAGATTACACTGGTTCCTGAATAAATTCATAAGTTCACAAAGTATGTTCGACAAACAGAATTACAGCTCATGCAATGAATGGATACGACAATACTAGCACGGTAACCACAACACATACTCATGTGGCTAATTTTGAGATTGTCGTTGTGCGAAAAACAAAATGTAAATGGTGTATTAATCATTAGTCCACTCCAAAACAGGATCTGTGTGTAATCAAAATTATGATCGTACACGTTACTTCGCTCTTCTAAGAACCATTAAATGATACACTATCAAGTTTAACCTGTGAAGTGGTTACTTGTTCTATCATACTGTATGGAAGTACTACCTCACTTCATATATGTTTTAACTATTGTCATTATTTTCAAAGAATAAATACGTGTTCGATCAAATATTTAAAAACCCGGCAAACATATTTTGTTATGTACACAGTCAAGAAATTAATATATTCCTGCATACGATAATTCACATTTATTTTGGTATAAAAAAAGGACATTCAACAAAAGTATTGACAAAATATTTAATTGATTAAGTCGTCCATGAAATCTTTTCTGAAAATAGAAAATAATTCCAAAATACTAAGCCTTACAAAGATATTTTATGTCTATAGGGTGCACTTCTGTCACAATAGACAATGCAACTTCCCATAGGAACTCCCTTTACGGCAAAAACTGTGCCAATTTTACTATAAAGTTTCGTAAAAAAATATATCCTGGAATGGAACATTGATAAGCACTACTATTGTATTCAAAGGTCAAAACATGGGACTGTGCGGTATATTCTCAACATTTATATGCCTCGAACGTCTAGGAGTTCAAACTTGTACTAAATTCTGTAATACCTCTCCCTTCGCTTTGGGTCTTCATCAGAATTCAATATCGCCGCTTTCCATGTGTATTTATACGACTAACCTTCCCAAGTCATGACTCTATGAGATGAAACATAGAAATACCTTGGAACCAGTACGTAAACAAAACAAAATATCTGTGAATATAATATATCTCTCCAAAAGAGGCGTGGTTTGTCAAACAACTGTAATTACAAAGTGCAACCTTTAGATAGAAGATAAAAATCTCGAAACATTGTAGATGTCTACGGACTTGTTTTATCGGTATGTCATATTTGTATTTTGAAGACACTTAGCCTTACAAAATATTGTATACCTTGAGACAGAAAATAAATATCTTGATACTTTGTTGATGTTTAACCTGTTTAAGGACTTGCTGTATGGATTTATAATATTTGTATTTTGAAGATAAAATGCTGTATAAATAGAATACGACAGCAAATGAACATTATCATTCTCTATCAATTGATAGATTTGTATAATGGTTAAAAATTGTTACGTACTTGCATAATCATATGTTTTTGTTTATTTTCTCATTCACAGCCAAGAACTATATTTCCTGAGAAGTGTACATGCACGATGAATCAAATCTTCAATAAATTTAAGTATATATAAAGATATAAATGAGTGTTTTGAACGTTCGTTTTCGTGCATGATGCAATTTACACGACTTTATTATTTTACTGGTATTCCGATTCAAATAGGCTTAAACCCGCTGCAATTGTTTGCACCTGTCCTAAGTCAGGAATCTGATGTTAAGTAGTTGTCGTTTGTTGATGTGGTTCATAAGTGTTTCTCGTTTCTCGTTTTTTATATAGATTAGACCGTAGGTTTTTCCGTTTGAAAGGTTTTACACTAGTAATTTTTGGGGCCCTTTATAGCTTGCTGTTCGGTTTGAGATAAGGCTCCGTGTTGAAGACCGTACTTTGACCTATAATGGTTTACTTTCATAAATTTTTACTTGGACGGAGAGTTGTCTCATTGACACTCATACCACATCTTCTTATATCTATATACCTGATATTGAATATAACTGAGTAATCTATTTTATTCATTCTGTAGAAAAAGTCATGTGTGATGTTGAGGTGTTATCAATATGTATACATTAAAGTATGTCCTTTACTAAATCCCTTTTTGCCGGTATGCATGTACGAAAAAATGATTGATTGCTTGATTGTTGGTTGCTTAACGTCCAGTGGCAAATATTTAATGCATGTTCGGGACGAGAAAAATTAGCAATAAATACAATAGGTAGGTCCTAAAATAGAGGCCGTCTGGGATGAAGGTATGAAAAATTTGAACTGCCACTGGAAAGTGAGGGTATATTGGATAGGGACATAAATTAAGCCTTGCAAATGATAAAATACGGACCCGTCATAGAGTTTTTGCAAGGAATCTTAACGTACAAAGAACGTGGCACTCTCTATACACGAGGCATCGGATTTAACTTCCCCATTCTGACCGGACATGGCTGCGAAATTGAACATCCCAAACAGCGAACGGACGCTCCACTTTGGCAAGGGTTTTACTGCCGGTCGGAGGAAGATCAGTGATGATTAATATCTATTACTATGTGACCCTAGGGGGTATGAAAAAAAACGAGTATCCCTACGGAACAGCGGAACCTTAATGATATTGCTCATGTCTTGAGACATGGAAAAATGTCTTAAAACTTTTAATTTTAGTTTATTATATAAATGCATTGTTATGCATGGTTGATTATAAATACCACATTGACAATGCCCATATCTTGAGACATATAGTAAATATCCTAAGATATTAAGTTAAACTGTTAAAGTATCTGCAATGGGGCCGTCTATAGAAAGTTTCTTTGTCGATATGGTTATAGCTTTGAAAAACAGATTACAATGGTTCCTGAATGAATACAAAAGTTTAATTCATAAAGTATGTTCGACAAACAGATTTACAGCTTATGCAATGAATGGATACGACAGTACTAGCACGGTAACCACAACACATACTCATGTGTCTAATTTTGAGATTGTCGTTGTGCGAAAAACAAAATGTAAATGGTGTATTAATCATTAGTCCACTCCAAAACAGGATCTGTGTGTATTCAAAATTATGATCGTGCGCGCTACTTCGCTCTTTTAAGAACCATTAAATGATACACTATAAAGTTTTACCTGTGAAGTGATTACTTCTTCTATCATACTGTATAGAAGTACTACCTCACTTCATATATGTTTTAACTATTGTCATTATTTTCAAAGAATTAATACGTGTTCGATCAAATATTTAAACACCCGGCAAACATATTTTGTTATGTACACAGTCAAAAAATTAATATATTTGTGCATACGATTATTCACATTTATTTTGGTATAAAAAAAGGACATTCAACAAAGTATTAACAAAATATTTAATTGATTAAGTCGTCCATGGAATCTTTTCTGAAAATGGAAAATAATTCCGAAACTAAGCCTTACAAAGATATTTTATGTCTATAGGGTGCACTTCTGTCACAATAGACAATGCAATTTCCCATAGGAACTCCCTTTACGGCAAAAACTGTGCCAATTTTACTATGAAGTTTCGTAAAAAAATATATCCTGGAATGGAACATTGATAAGCACTACTATTGTATTCAAAGGTCAAAACATGGGACTGTGCGGTATATTCTCAACATTTATATGCCTCGAACTTCTAAGAGTTTAAACTTGTACTAAATTCTGTAAAACCTCTCCCTTCGCTTTTGGTCTTCATCAGAATTCAATATCGCCGCTATCCATGTGTATTTACACGATTAACATTCCCAAGTTATGACTATGAGATGAAACATAGAAATACCTTGGAACCAGTACGTAAACAAAACAAAATAACTATGAATATAATATATCTTTCTAAAAGAGGCGTGGTTTGTCAAACAACTGTATTTAAAAAGTGTAACCTTTAGATAGAAAATAAAAATCTCGATACACTTAGACACTAAGCCTTACAAAATATTTTATGCCTTGAAACAGAAAATAAATATCTTGATACTTTGTTGATGTTTTAGGACTTGCTGTATTGGTATATAATATTTGTATTTTGAAGATAAAATGCTGTATAAATAGAATAGACATGGCTGCGAAATTGAACATCCCGCACTTTTGCAAGGGTTTTACTGCCGGTCGGAGGAAGACCAGTGATGATTAATAGCTATAACCATGTGACCCTAAATGGGTATAAAAAACGAGTATCCCTACGGAACAGCAGAACTTTTATGATATTGCTCATGTCTTGAGACATGGAAAAATGTCTTAAGACGTTTAATTTTAGTTTATAATATAAATGCATTTTTCTGCATGATTGATTATAAATACACCATTGACAATGCCCATGTCTTGAGAGGTAAAGTAAATATCTTAAGATATAAAGCTAAACTGTAAAAGTATTTGCAATGGGGCTGTCTATTAAAACTTTGTTTGTCGATGGTAATGGCTTTCAAAAACAGATTAAAATGGTTCCTGAATGAATTCAAAAGTTTAAGTCATAAAGTATGTTCGACAAACAGATTTACAGATCATGCAATGAATGGATACGACAATACTAGCACGGTAACCACAGAACATTCTCATATGGCTAATTTTGAGAGGTAAACGGACAGAAAATCACAGGACAAAAAGTCACAGGTCATAAAGTCACAAATTTGATAGTACAAAAAGTCACAGGTCAAAAAAGTCACAAATAATTTGTTGAAAATTGCCCGAACATATAAGAGGAATATCTTGAAATACTTTGTTTTTATTATATATATTCATTTTTAAGTTCATGACATTGTTCATAAGCCTTGATAAATGAAAATTTATCAGATTTTAATCATGCAAAGAATATATTTCTTGGCACCATGATGCCAAGCCACTTTGACATTTTGTTTTCATAACAATTATTTGATCATTGTTGATATTTATTGAATAAATTTTATTAACAAAGTTGCTTTACATATAATAGTTCAAGACAAAAAAACAAATATTTGAAAAAATTAGTGTTTTCTTGTTGAAAGAAAAATAATCTCAAAACTGAATTGTGACTTTTTGTGCTGTGACTTTTTGTCCGTGACTTTTTGTCTGTGACTTTTTGTTCTGTGACTTTCTGTCCTACATTCTCTTGAGATTGTCGTTGTGCGGAAAACAAAATGTAAATGGTGTATTAATTATTAGTCCACTCCAAAACAGGATCTGTGTGTATTAAAAATTATGATCGTGCGCGCTACTTCGCTCTTTTGAGAACCATTAAATGATACACTATAAAGTTTGACCTGGGAAGTGGTTACTTTTTCTATCATCTTGTATGGAAGTCTTACCTCACTTCATGTATGTTTTAGCTGTTGTGATTATATATATGTTCGATTAAATATTTAAAAACGCAGCAAACATATTATGTTATGTCTACAGTCAAGAAATTAATATATGTGCGCATACGATTATTCACGTTTATTTTTATATGAAATAAAGACATTCAACAAAAGTATTGACAAATTATCTAATTGATTAAGTCGTCCATGAAATCTTTTCTGAAAATGGAAAATAATTCCAAAATACAAAGCCTTACAAAGATAGTTCATGTCTATAGGGTGCACTTCTGTCAATATAGACGATGCAATTTCCCATAGGAACTCCCTTTACGGCTAAAACTGCCAATTTTACTATGAAGTTTCGTAAATTTTTTTATCCTGGAATGGAACGTTGATAATCACTTCTATTTTATTCAAAGGTCAAAAAATGGGACTGTGCGGTATATTTTCACATTTATATGCCTCGAACTTCTAAGAGTTTAAACTTGTGTTAAATTCTGTAATACCTCTCCCTTCACTTTGGGTCTTCATCAGAATTCAATATCGCCGCTATCCACGTGTATTTATACGATTAACATTCCCAAGATATGACTCTATAAGATGAAACATAAAGATCATACCTTGGAACCAGTACGTAAAAAAACCAAAGTATCTGTGAATATAATATATCTCCCAAAAAGAGGCGTGGTTTGTCAAACAACTGTAATTACAAAGTGCAACCTTTAGATAGAAGATAAAAATCTCGATACATTGTAAGGGGCCTCGGTGGCCGAGTGGTCTAAGTAGTTACTACTGTATTCACTAGCCAGTCAACACTGAGGTTGTGAGTTCGAACCCCGCTCGTGCGAATGCACTCGACTCCAATCTTACTTGACTAGGATTGTCAGTTTTCCTATCGAAGGTCGGTGGTTTTCACCGGGCACTCCGGCTTCCTCCACCAATAAAAACTGGCCGCCACGAAATAGCCCAAAAGCGGTGCTTAAAAGTGGCGTTAAAACACCAAAAATCAAAATCAAATCAAATCGATATATTGTTGATGTCTACGGACTTGTTTTATCGGTATGTCATATTTGTATTTGGAAGACACTTAGCCTTATAAAATATTGTACACCTTGAGACAGAAAATAAATATCTTGATACTTTGTTGATGTTTATCCTGTTTAAGGACTTGCTGTATGGGTTTATAATATTTGTATTTTGAAGATAAAATGCTGTATAAATAGAATACGAAAGCAAATGAACATTATCATTCTATGAATTTATAGATTTGTATAATGTTTAAAAATTGTCACGTACATGCATATTCATATGTTTTTGTGTATTTTCTCATTCACAGCCAAAAGCTGAATTTCCTGAGAAGTGTACATGCACGGTGAATCAAATCTTCAAGAAATGTAAGTATAGATAAAGATATAAATGCGTATTTTGAACGTTTGTTTGCGTGCATGATGCAATTTACACGACTTTATTATTTTACCAGTGTTCCGATTCAAATAGGCATATATCTGACATTGAATATAACTCAGTAATCTATTTTATTCATTCTGTACAAAAAGTTATGAATGATGTTGAGTTGTTATCAATATGTATACGTTATACTATGCCCTTTTCTAAATCCCTTTTACCGGTATGCATGTTCGAAAAATGATCGATTGTTTGATTATTGGTTGCTTAACATCCAGTGGCAAATATTCAATGCATGTTCGGGACGAGAAAAAAAAGCAATAAATACAATAGGTAGGTCCCAAAATAGAGGCCTCCCGGGATGAAAGTCGGAGAAATTTGGACTGACACTTGAAAATAAGGGTATATTGGATAGAGACATCAGTTTGGCCTTGAAAAAGGTCAAATACGGACCCGCCTAAGAGTTTTTGCATGGGTTCGTAACGTGCAAAGACCACGGCACTCTCTATACACATGGCATCCAATTTAACGTCCCCATTCTGACCGGACATGGCTGCGAAATTGAAAATCCCGATCAGCAAACGGACGCTCCACGTTAGTGAGGGTTTTACTACCGATCAGAGGAAGACCAGTGATGATTAATATCTACAGATAGGTGCAGTCCTAACTTGTACTAAAGTTAACTTAGAGCAGACTTGTTGACTGCTTTCCAAGTTAACCAAGAAATTTTAAGCAGACAAGCAAGTTAACTTCGTCGTTGGTAGACCTGACCTAGGTCTGCTTTTTTTAGGACTGCTGCAGACCTATTGACAAGTCTGCTCCAGACTAGACCTGTGGACAAGTCTGCTATTGACCAGTCCTGAGGACAGGTCTGTTCCAGACCAGACCTGTGGACAGGTCTGCTCCTGACCAGACTGTGGACAGGTCTGCTAATGACCAAACCTGTGGTCAGGTCTGCTACAGTGACTAGACCTGAGGACAGGTCTGCTTATGACAGATTACCGTGTTTAAGATTTTTCATATTAGACCTGAGCTTTTATCATGTAAATAATAATCGCATTGTTCTTCAAGTTTTCTCAGTATAGCAAATTACTTTACTCGTTAGACTTTATAGATATTATACACTTTAAACAATTCTTTTTTTTTCATTTCATATTCTTATATACATTAAACAATGGCTATAAAATTTCACACTTGTGATCACATGCAGCTATCACAAAAGTGCTGTCATTTGTATTATACCAGCCATCCTGATATAAAAATATAATTGATTTACTATGCGGCTACATGTATAAAGATTTACATAATAAAGTGCAATAATGGTCAGTTTGGTTGATGCGGTCAAATATTTTTTTTGTACGAGTCTGCCAGAGGTATCAAAACTACTGAAATTTTGTTGCGAGACAATATTTGTAACAAAGAGAGGACATGCTGGCACTCTTATTTGATGCGGACAAAATTTTGGAGTCATTGTGTTTAAATATTGCTGTCATTTGTATTATACAATCCATCCTGACTTCTAAACATCACTGATTTATTATGCGGCTATATAGCTTTACATAAGAAAGTGTAAAATAGTCAGTTTTGGTTGATGTGTTAAATATTTGAACTGAAATTTCCTTACGTATCAATATATTGAATAAAAAAAAGGACATGCTGGCACTCTGAATTCATGTGGACATGTAGTTATTGTGTTCCAATATTGCTGTCATTTGTATTATACAATCCATCTTGTCATCAAAATATTGCTGATTTACTATGCGGCTATATAGATTTACATATAATAAAGTGCAAATAATTATATGGTCAGTTTTGGTTGATGCGCTAAAATATTTTTGTTATACGAGTCAGCCTAAGGTATCAAAACTACTAAAATTTTGTTGCGAGACAATACTTTGAATAAAAAGATGACATGCTGGCAATGTAAATTGATGGGGACAAAATTTTGTAGTCATTGTGTTCCAATGTTGCTGTCATTAATATTGTACAATCTATCCTGACATAAAAATATTTCTGAATTTTTTAAGCGGCTATATAAATAAACAGAATGAAGTGCAAATATGGTCAGTTTTGGTTGATGCGTTCAAATAATTTTGTTGTTCGAGTCAGCCTGAGGTATTAAAACTACTGCAATTTTGTTACGTATCAATATATTTAACAAATGGAGGACATGATGGCACTGTAAATTTATGCGGACAAATTTTTTTAGTCATTGTGTTCCAATAGTGCTGTCATTTGTTTTATACTGACATAAAAATATAACTGATTTTCTATGCGGCTACATTTATATAGATTTACATATTAAAGTGCAAATATGGTCAGTTTTGGTTGATATAGTCAAAAAAGTTTCGAGCCAGTCTGAGATGTGAAAACTACTGATTTTTTGTGATGATTGAATTATTTGAATGACAAAAGGACATGCTTGCACTGTGGATTGGTGCAGAAAAAGAAATATTAGTAAGCCGACCATAAACATGATAAATATCAGTAACTGTACCCCAATATAGCTTTCAATTATCATGATTATTTTATATGATCTAAGTACTATTCCATTTTGGCATTGTTTATTGTTTTTATCTGAAAACCAAGTTTATAAGATTAACGCTACATTTTAAAACCGATATTTTAAAGAAAATACTGGTTGATACGATTTAAAGACTTTGAAATTTATTGGAATATATTTTCAATGCCCGTTATATTTGTAACCAATATCATTTTTAATTTATAGAAAGGTAGATCACGGATAAATTTGTATAACAAGCAAAGTTTTATGCGTACTTTTTTTACCAATACATGTATTTAATCTGTATTGTTTATATCTCGGAAGTATTATATTGACTTTATTTTTCTATGTTTATCATGTTTATACCAAAAAACAAAGACATTAATAATATTTTAAAAAAATCGATGTACACCGGTCCTGGTTACAGGTTAACTAAATTTAGTGTTGAGCAGACCAGCCAAAAGTTAACTTGAGATCAGGTCTGGTTCGATCGGAGTTGTAAAAATCAAAGTGGACTTATGTTAACTTATGGCAGGACTGGTTTCGAAGTAAACTTATATTAGTAGCGGACCTGTTTCCAAGTTAACTTTTTCGGCAGACATAAAAACAGTCCTAGGACCAAGTCCGCTTTTCAAGTTAACTAGATTGTGGTCCTAGGACTGGTCAGAGCAGTCCTAAATCATGTCACAGGTTAACTTGCTGTACAGGTTAGGACTGCACCCATCTGTATTCCCAAGTCAGCTTAGAGGGTATGAAAAAAAAACGAGAAACCCTACAGAAAAGCGGAACTTTTACGATATTACTCATGTCGTGATATATGGAAAAAAGACGTTTAATTTTAGTTTAAATTATAGATTCATATTTCTGTTCGGTTGATTATAAATACACCATTGACAATGCCCATGTCTTGAGACATATAGTAAATATCTTGAGATATTAAGATAAACTTTAGAAGTATTTGAAATGAGGCCGTCTGTTGGAATTATGTTGGTCGATGGTAATAGCTTTCAAAAACAGATTAAAATGGTTTCTGAATGAATTAAAAAGTTTAAGTCATAAAGTATGTTCGACAAACAGATTTACAGCTCATGCAATGACTGGATACGACAATACTAGCACAGTTACCGCAACACATACTCATATGGCTAATTTTGAGATTATAATTGTGCGAAAAGCAAAATGTAAATGGTGTATTAATTATTAGTCCACTCCAAAACATGATCTGTGTGTATTCTTTTTTTTATCATACTGCATGAACATACTACCTCACTTAATATATGTTTTATCTGTTGTCATTTTTTTCAAAGAATAAATACATTTTCAAACAAATATTTAAAAACGCGGCAAACATATTTTGTTGTGTCTACAGTCAAGAAATTAATATATTTATGCATACGGTTATTCACTGTCATTGTGGTATGGAAGAAGGACAATAAACAAAAGTATTGACAAAATATTTAATTGATCAAGTCGTCCATGAAATCTTTTCTGAAAATGGAAAATAATTCCAAAATACTAAGCCTTACAAAGATATTTTGTGTCTATAGGTTGCACTTCTGTCAATATAGACAATGCAATTTACCATTATAACTCCCTTAACGGCTACAACTGTGCCAAGTTAACTATAAAGTTTCGTAAAAAAATATATCCTAGAATGGAACGTTGATAAGCACTACTATTTTATTCAAAGGTCAAACCATAGGACTGTGCGGCATATTTTCGACATTTATATGCCCCAACCTTCTAAGAGTTTAAACGTATACTAAAATCTGTACTACCCCTCTCTTCACTTTGGAACTTCCTTAGAATTCAATACCGCCGCTATCCATGTGTATTAATACAATTAACATTCCCAAGTTCTGACTCTATGAAATGAAACATAGAGATCATACCTTGGAACCAGTACGTAAACAAAACAAATTCTACTTTTTAGTCAGACGTCAGGCGCTACCTTAAATACCCTGTTTTTTGTTTTTGTCCTCTGGTTTTGTAGTTTTTTGTCGGGTACTTGATGACGGATAGCGTTTGACGTCTTTAGTCGAACATTTGTTTTTTTACTTTATTTTATTCCTGTGTGCTGGTTCATTTTCTGGGCGCCAGTTTTTGCTCCTTTCAATTGTGAATACGGATAACAGAAAAAACAAATAATACTCTGTGGTCGGGTTGTTGTCTCTTTGACATATTTCCCATTTCCATTCTCAATTTTATAAAATATCTATGAATATAATAAAACCGCAAAAAAGGAAAAGGGATTTAATCCAGATCATGGACTAAAGTTGTAAAGGTATCTTCAGTTAAACAGTATTTTGGCAGCTTAATTTGTAAAAATTTACACTAGGCGACGACGAGAGCATGAAGTTTTACCCATGTCCGTCTGTATTTATGTATGTTCAAACGTAGGTACGAACATTGGTTTCCGTTCTTTAACTTTAGTTTGCCTCAACCAAATATGAAACTGATACATAATGCTTATTTACAAAAAACACTGATCAAGTTTGAATTTTGGTGGCATCACTTTTACCGATCACGAGTTATGCCCCTTTATATATAGAAGAAAATGTAGATTTTTTGTTTCCGTTTCCTAATTTTAGTTTGCCTCAACCAAATGTTATAAAAGTTAAACACAATGCTTGTTAACACAAAACGAAGATCAATTTTAATTTGGTTGGCATCACTTTTACTGTTCATCAGATATGTTCCTTTATGAATAGATAATATGCTGAATTAATTGTTTCCGTTCTCTAACTTTAGTTTGTTTCAAGCAATTGTTATTAAACTTATACACAATGCTTATTACCACAAAACAGAGACCCATTACGTATTTTGGTGGCTTCACTATTAAGGTTCTAGAGTTATACCCCTTTTAACTTTAAATGCAAGCAGGGGCATCTGTGTTGCATGGACACATTCTCCATTAACTTTACTTTAAATAGTATTACATATTATTCATTGAATATTTAAGTGACAAGTTAATTATTAAATTCCGACAACGAACACTTATTATTGCATTGATTTGATACTGAGTTCAATAAAAAGAGATAAGTACGGACGGTCATATTTTTTCTGAATGTACAGAATATTGATTCGCTTCCCCAGACACATTAAGAAACAGAGTAAGACGAATCCCCTTATTTAGTGGTGTTCCTTGACCAAGAGGGGAATACCAGTAGCTGTTAATTATGTGCCTGATTTAGACTTTCATGAAATATACTCACAGACACTGGGAATTTTACAACAGTGAGCAGTTGGAGACCAAGACACGCAACAAAAATCAACCAATTGAATCAAATTAGCAGACCTTTTGTCAAGAAATAAAAATGAGTAAAAACTATACAGCAAATAATTATGTTTTATTAGAAATTCACACTTTATGAACCGTTCCAGATTTCCAGAGTACTTGAGATCACCATGGTTTTTATTTGGTACTGTTTTTGTCTATATATGGCCAATCTATGATAGTAGATGGGCATTATGTTTTTCAGTCTGTACGTCCATTCATCCGTCTGACCTGAATCTTGTAAAAGATTTTGCTGAAGTTAGTTAAGAGTGAATTAGCAGTCATATCAACTTGAAACTTAATACACATGTTCCTTATAATGTGTTTTTTCTGACATGCATACCAAATAAGGATTTTTACCCCATTTTCATGGTTCACTGAACGAAGAAAATGACAGGGCAAGTAAGGCATCAGTGTACTTTGGACATATTTTTTTGTTGTTTTCAATGTTATGTTTTATTGCTATATGTATATACAGAGACTGCTGTGTGTGTAGTGTTTCCCTCAGTTTTGGTTTGTGACCTGGATTTGTTTCAGTTAAATCGATTTATAACTATTGAACAGCGGTATACTACTATTGCTTTTATTTGTATGCTCTTCAACGTTGTACTCTAATTGTTCTTTTAATTATTTTGATTCGAGCGTCACTGCTGAGTCTTGTGTTAACGAAACGCGCGTTTGGCGTAGAAAAATATATAAGCCTGGTACCTTTGATAAGTGTTTGTCTGTTTGTGTTCCATTATTGAGTTTATTTGTCTTTTTGGTATGAATATTTCACAAAGTTCCCTTTCCATTAATAGCAGTTTCCGCAATTTCAATGTTTATCAATTGAAATTTTCCCTTGAATTAATGCATATTCAAGACAATTCAAAATGCAAAATTCATGTATTACGCCAAAAAAGAATACAACATCAAAGGTAAAGGACTACATCCTTGGTTGCTTACATCAATAATTGACTTACCAATGCATATTTTAGCTGATAAGGTCAAAACAGGAACCAGTTATGTCATGTATCGTCAGGAATAACTCATTTATATATTTGATCACTGGTTTTTTTGTTAGGTTGCACATGTGACATGTTAAAGAAATTAACACTTCCACAAGGCTAAACACGTTAAAGTGTTAATAAGGTGTTGCCAGGAAAATTCACGTGTAATGTGTTAATCAATTTAACACATTAACATGTTAACAATTAATACCAACAGTGTTAGATATAAACATTTAAACATGTTAAATTAAGAGTTCTAAGATCTAATAATTTAAAATAGAAAAAAATCAGTAGCTCTATGGCCTGCAAATCGTCAACAAATATCATAAGGACCTAATAGCTTTGAATCCGCACGTAGTGCCAAAGGAACATCGCTCTACAAAAAAAGGGGGAAAAAAAAAGGAAAATTAACAATAGGGAACGAAAAATCGCACCTTTTTTGTAATTTTTTGCGTAGAAAAAATGAAAACAATACTTTATAAATTTCATGCGTCCTAAGAGCTTTTCTGGTTTAACCTTCATTAGGAACGCTCAATTTTAGAGAAACTAGAGATTCCCCTGTAAAACAGAAATATCTGAATCTAGGAAGGGACTAATTTTGCTTGTTGGATTTTAATGGTTTTGCAATAAATAATACCACAAAGAAAAATAAATTTTCCGTCAAATCACTAATTATAGTTACATATTCATTTGTTGCTTGTTAAATCTTATGTTTTTGGCCTAATAACATTATTAATACAAATTATTATTACATGTCTGCTGTTCAATATTTTGGTGTGGTATATCTTAAATATGGATACTAACAGTATATGTTCAGTTGCACTGACATGGAAACCAGAGGAAAAAAGGAAAGTTGGACGTCCCAAAACCACCTGGAGAAGGACTATAGAGACAGAACGAACATCACTCTCGGATAGAACAGATGGGCTACAGCAAGAACAGCAGCTAAAGACCGTGTGAAATGGAAAAAATGTATCAGGGCCTTAAATGCCGACCGGCGTGAAGAGGATAGGTGAGGTGAGGTGATATCTTAAATAAAACAAATGCCCATTTGTAGTAAAGAGGGAACATGTCGTGTTCTTGTATTGTAAGTCGTTGCATTTTGAGATCGTTTTTGTATAGTACTGCGGACGATAAAACAGTGTAGGATGAAATACTTTCATATCAACAGATATCACCATTTGAGTTTGGAAACTATGATTGCTGGTTTTCTTGGAAAATTCTAGGATTTATATATCATCGTGGTTGACTTGTGCTGTGTTTCTATTTTGAATTATACACAGGAAGTTAATTTTGTTTTAATGATAATTTCCATACTTCCGTTTTTTAATACATTCATCGATTTCAAACTTGTTAATTTTAATGTGGTAAGGAATCTTACAAATACAGATGACTTATAACGAAGATTGATTTAAAAAAAAAAGGAAAAATCTACGTTTATCTTGGTACCTTATGAATTACGTTAAGGAATATTTTGTTCCTAAAATAATATCTGATATTTTGCAACTAATAAAATGAATACACATATATAAAAAACTGTTTGTTGAAGAAAAAAAAACCGGATGCAACTATAAGATATCTTTATATTTTCTAAAGGACAAAGGGTTTACTCTTTAATACTTTGCAGATACAAATAAAACCTTGCACGACAGAAGGTTTACCTACGATAAGTCACCATGGTCTTTGTAATTATTTCATCTGCACTTGTTACCCTCCAAAATAGGAAAATCTACTAAACATTGATCGCTGCTACTCTCCAATTTAAGGAATATTTTATTCACGTAGTTCTAAATGACCTTAACCTTTTAAACTTCTAAATTCGTTTAAAGATTTAGATTTAAGAAGTCAGTTAGAAAGATTTGCTGACAATAAAATTGATGATAACATACGTCTATGTAATAACGGCCGTTTAACAAATAATGATATGTCCACTGGTTACCCTCTATAGTAAGATAATCCACTGAACATTAATCGACATCACCCTCAAATTAAATGAACGTTTTATTTGAGTTGTTCTAAATGACTCCAACCTTTCAAATTTTTAAGTTCATTTGATGAATGAGACTTTGGAAATAAGTTAAAACATTTTCTGCCCATTAAATTGATAATTACCAAGATGTGTTCAATAATAGTCGATAAACAAATAATGATTTTAATTGTATACCCACTGTCTCATGTCTTTTAATATATCATTATAGCTTGTTAAACTACAGACTGAACTGTGATACAAAGATAATATAGTAATTGAAGGCAGTTCTATTAATTGTTTACCATTGTGAATGTAGGACAGTAGTGATTGTACAGATTTTGTTTATATAAGAAAGTAAAATGTACTGACTCTCATTTTATAATATCTAGAAAGCGTCAATAGCTAAATTGTATAAATAAATGTTATAAGACAACCGTTCATTCTTCTTTCAACTGACCTGGAGATGAACATTAGCCTTATTCTTTAATTGTTTTTTTTTTCAATGGTTTGTGGTCTAGTTTTGAGACTGCTTTCAAATGGTTTAAATAAAGCCTACAGACACAAAGTGCTATACAAAAAAATGTCTTCTTTTTATTTGATTAAATAACAGATATTCAAAAGATATAAAAGTTTCTAGTCACCTTAGCATGCATATCAGACAGGAATACCAGTATCATTAAGAATTAATTTTGTGTGTTTCTTGACAAAACAATGAATAAGACAACATGATTGACACTGTAAATATATTCCGCGGACATTAGAATTATCGAAATAAATTTACTAAAAGACGAGTAGATTGATTAGAAAAATTTCTTAATGGTAAAACAATGTTGCCTATGAGTACATGCTTAATTCTTTTTAATTTATCACTACCAGACAAGAACTGTGTTTTCAGACATATATTCAGACATATATTCATTATCATTATAACAATAAGGAGATTTGGTATGATTGCCTATGAGACAACTATACACCAAAGTTCATACCAAAAGGATGTAAGCAGTTGTAAGCAACCGTACAGCCTTCAACAATGAGAAAACTCCATGTCGTATAGTCGGCTATAAAAGGCCTAAACATGAAAAATATGAAACAATTCAATTGTGAAAACTAATTGCTTAATTTATTACAAAACAGTTTACAAAAAAATAAATATGTCATTATAGCTTGTTAAACTACAGAATGAACTGTGATATAAAGATAATATAGTAATTGAAGGCGGTTCTATTAATTGTTTACCATTGTGAATGTAGGACAGTTGTGATTGTACAGATTTTGTTTATATAAGAAAGAAATATGTATTGACTCCAACTTTATATATCTAGAAAGCGTCAATAGCATACTAATTTGTATGAATAAATGGTATAAGACAACCGTTCATTCTTCTTTCAACTGACCTGGAGATGAACATCAGCCTTATTCTTTAATTGTTTTATTTTATTTCAATTTTTTGTGGTCTAGTTTTGAGACTGCTTTCAAATGGTTTAAATAAGGCCTACAGACACAAAGTGCTATACAAAAAAATATCCTCTTTTTATTTGACCAAATAACAGATATTCAAAAGATATAAAATTTTCTAGTCACCTTAGCATGCATATCAGACAGGAATACAAGTATCATCATGATCATAAAGAATTTATTGTGTGTGTTTCTTGACAATACAATGAATGAGACAACATGATTGACCCTGTAAATATATTCTTCGGACATTAGAATTATCGAAACAAATTTACTAAAAGACGAGTAGATTGATTAGAAAAATTTCTTAATGGTAAAACAATATTGCCTATGAGTACATGCATAATTCTTTTCAATTTATCACTACCAGACAAGAACTGTGTTTTCAGACATATATTTAGACATATATTCATTATCATTATAACAATAAGGAGATTTGGTATTATTGCCTATGAGACAACTATACACCAAAGTTCATACCAAAAGGATGTACGCAATTGTAGGCAACCGTACAGCCTACAAGGATGAGAAAAACCCATATCGTATAGTCGTCTATTAAAGGCCTTAACATGAAAAATATGAAACAATTCAATTGTGAAAACTAACGGCCTAATTTATTACAAAACAGTTTACGAAAAACAAATATGACAGACATGAACCAAAGACAACCAACCCAACTATAGGCTTCTGACTTGGGAAGGCACATTAAGAACGTGGCGGAATTAAAGAGATTAAGAATGTGACGGCTCAACCTTCTCCGTAACGTAGGACAGTGGTGTTACCGCACTACTTACGAACAAACTATACAACTCTGTTGAAAAAGGCTTAACTCATCAGATCGATTCAAAGCAGAAAACATCTAACAACAACACAGACCGGACGTGGCAGAGTATTTATACATCCCCACAACAAAAAAGAAACTCATCACAGATATGAGAGTCCTTGCAGGTACCGACAGCTAGTCCAAAGCCGATAACAATTAACTAATAAAAAAGCATGTATCTAAGTCTTAAATAAAAATCAGTACACATCCATTGTCAAAATATAGGTATCGACAAATCTACCGTTGTGAATGTAGTACAGGTATAATTGTACACATTTTGTTTAGATAAGAAACAAAAATGTGTTGACTCTCACATTATTCTAATTACATTCATTGTTCTTTCGCCTGACCTAGAGATGAAATATGATTTTGTTGTTCCAGTGTTGTTTAATATTTGTAGTGGGATTGCTTTTTAAATGGTGTAATTAAGGCTCACAGAAACAAAACTTTTTCATTAGACCTAGTAACAGATATTCAAAAGATCAAACATAATAAAATAATGATTTTGTCTTATCACCCTAGCTTGCATATCAGACTTGAATGTTAATGAGATTGATCATTGTTTTTGTATGTTTCTTGACGATCCAGTGAATTAAACCTTGTTGTTTTACATCAATTGACATATGATATTTTAGTAAAGAAAACATTCAAAGATAAGTTGGTTATTTTTTTTATTTTTGTTTCATAGTAAAATGTTTTTATTCTTCCTTGCTGTTGTGCATGATGTTATTTATTCCACTGAATTACTTTTCATGTGTTGATTTTGAATAAGCCATCAATCTAATATTGTTGAACATATAAATCTGATGTCTGTTATCGTGGGTTCTATAACTACATCACAAAAATCTTGACAAATTCAACTGTTTAACTCATTCAGTATATGCGTGCTGTGAATATATTTTTATCGTACATTTTAGAATGCATTTCGCTTAATATCGTTTACCGGTGTGCATGACCAAAATTAAGTTTCTTAGACAAATGGCATGCATGTATTTCATTCTGAAACATAAACCGCGAATCCTTTTGGAACTGCTTATTCTTTCATGATACTGCTCATGTCTTGAGATAAGAAATGAAGTAAACACTTTATTAATCACATACATAGCATATTAATAGAAGTCAAGATCACACATGTTCAGAATGAATAAAAAAGATGACAGAAATATTCATTCTGTACATGTGTGATATTTATATGCGTTCTGCATTGCACTTAATTGAATCTCTTGTATCAGTTTTCATGTACACAAATTAATGTTCATCTAAATTTTCAAAATTTGACATAAGCTTTTCGTCAAAACGGAAGACGGATGATCAGATTCTATTTATTCTGAAACATGAGAATCCCTCCATAACAGTGTGGTCTTTCATGTAACTCTTCATGTCTTGAGACATGAACAAATACTTTTTAAGTTGTTTTATTTCAGTACATGGTTGATTTTAAAACATCATTGACAATGTCCATGTCTTGACATAAGCTTTTCGTCAAAACTGAAGACAGATGATCAGATTCTATTTATTCTGAAACACACGAGAATACCTCCGTAACAGTGTGGTCTTTCATGTAACTCTTCATGTCTTGAGACATGAACAAATACTTTTTAAGTAGTTTTATTTCGGTTCATGGTTGTTTTTAAAACATCATTGACAATGTCCATGTCTTGAGAAATAAAGTAAATATCTTAAGATATTAAGTTGAACTGTCAAAATATTTGTGATGGGGTCTACTGTTGGTATTTTGTTGGTCGATGGTTACTACTTTCAAAACCGATTAAACTGGTTCCTGAAGTAGTTCAAAAGTTTAAGTCATAGTTTGGCGTCGACATACAGGTTGACGTCTAATACAATGAATGGATACGACAATACTAGCACGGTAACCACATTTACATATATATAATCATTGACAATGTCCATGTCTTGAGACATACAGAACTTATATTAAGATATTCAATATATGGGAATTATGTCGGTCGATGGTTATTGCTTCCAAAAACAGATAAAAGTGGTTCCTGAATGAGTTCAAACAGGCTGACGTCTCATGCAATGAATGGATACAACAATACTAACACAGTAACCACAACACATACTCATATGGCTAGTTTTGAGATTGTCGTTGTGCAAAAAGCAAAGTGTTGATGGTTTATTATTCGTTAACCTACTCCAAACCATGAACAGAGCCTATTCACACATATGGTCGTGTTCGTTATATTTGTCGTTAAGGAACCATTTAATGATACATTATTAAGTTTAATCTGTGTACTGTTTTGTTGTTTTTTAATCTTAATTTACATTACATACGTTTTATCTGTTGTCATTATCTTCAAAAATACATGTTTGACCAAAGTTTGAAAATGCAGCATATGTTTAAATGTGTATATATATGTGTATATATGACTGCATGTGATTGTTCACTCTTTTTTTTGTATGAAATAATAGCATCAAACAAAAGTATTGACAAACTTTTGATTGTTTGAGTCTGCCATGAATTTGTTTTCTGAATATATTTTATGTCTTGAGATAGAAAACTAAACATCATGGTACTTTGTTGATTTCTAAGGAAATGCTTTATCAATGGATTTTAACGAAAGAATATAAAATATAAAATTAAATTACAAATCAATACTTATCATTATTGTGTAGTTTACATCCCTTCGTAAATTTTACGGACGCCATCACGAGTTGGTTGACCGTTATGGAATAACTGTTTCACAGATGATATCGGATATGTTCCTTATGTCGTAACTACAATACCCTTCCCTTTTCACGAATGTGACCTACCGAATTAGACTATTTACCGGATTTGTAATAACATAAGCAACACGACGGGTGCCACATGTGGAGCAGGATCTGCTTACCCTTCCGGAGCACCTGAGATCACCCCCAGTTTTTGGTGGGGTTCGTATTGATTAGTCTTTAGTTTTCTATGTTGTGTCATCAGTACCATTATTTGTCTGTTTGTCTATTTATTTTTGGCCATGGCGTTGTCAGTTTGTTTTCGATCTATGAGTTTGACTGTCCCTCTGGTATCTTTCGTCCCTCTTTTACATCTTTTCTCTAAACATGCATTTTATATTTAGATCCCACGCATTATCATGGGAAACATACACACACTTATTAACACTTAAAGCTATGTCTACACAAGAAAGGATTTGCGCCTAAATAATTCCACACTGACAATTCGGTATGTTTGTTTTTTTATTTAAACTGTAAAAAGATACACTCGATTAAAATCCATTGATTCGCTTCAACAAGTTTCATTTTGTTTTCATGTCTTTATGCTTAAATTATTTGTTAGTATGAAATATTTGATGTGTTCATTAATTAATGTGTATATTTCTTGATCGTTGATCTGATAATCCGTAGGACATTTATGGAAATCAAATTAAATGCACATTATCTTTACATTGTTATAAATGACCTCAGTTTGTTCAATGAATGAGACTATAGAAATGAGTAAAAGGTTTGCTGACCATTAAACTGATAATAACTAGGGTGTGTTTTTAATGACAGCGGTTACACAAATAATCATATGTAATTGTATACCTAGTCCTTCTAAATGAAATTTTAGAATGGTTTAACCACACAAAGAATTTGATACAGAGACGTTTTAGTGATTAGTTTGCCGTGATATACCATTTTGAAGGTAAGACATTTGATACATTTTGAAAAAAAAGGTGTGTTTACTTCCAAAAACGTTTGAATACACTGTGTCAAATAAAGGCAACAGTAGTATACAGGTGTTCAAAAGTCATTAATCGATTGAGGGAAAACAAATCCGGGTTACAAACTAAAACCGAGAGAAACACATCAACTATAAGAGGAAAACAAAGGAACAACAGGAAATACAACAAAAACAAACGCCAACATATATAGAAACGAACTATTTGATAACAACTGCCATATTCCTGACAGAAAAAATGGTGGGCACGTTATACCTACTGACACAAAGCGCTATCAAAAAGTACTCATTTATTATGAGTATTAATTTAAGACACCATTAACATTAGTGCCCAAAGCCAAAAACTTGATAGCTGGATGTATCAATACCAAGTAACGTCAAGAGTCATGCAAGAGGAACAAAATAGCACAAAGACAGTTCAAGAATAAACTGTAAAATAAATTAAACAAATACACGACTTCAGCACCTACAACTCAAGACCATCTTGTATTATTTGTGAAGTAGACACTGAATATTAATGTGTTAGGTTGTGGTACTTGCCAATGAACTTTTTGAGACAAAGGACAAAACGTTCTTTGACAAAACCTTGGCTCATTAATTTATTTTGGTCAGTAGCCGATGACGTTTTACACAGTCTGAGTAGCAGCTCCAAGCTCTAAAATTTAAGCCAAAAGTTCACATTTTGTAAAGATATACCTGTATTTCATTCATATCGATAAACATTGATTTAAAGTCTACTTGAACATCGATTTGTACAGTCTTTTGTATCAAAGTGCATTAATCTGTGGTAAGGTCATTCTATAACGACCATAAAAAGGAGGGGTGGGTAAACAGTTAGGTACAATAGTTTGTTTAAATGGTGTCAAAGACTACAACAAGCTGGCTTTTAATTCAAAGGTTAACAAACTTCCCATATGATTTTTGTCATTCCTTTTCACGACGGTAAATGATTGAAGAGCACTTCACAGAGAAACTTATCATTTTATGATGATTTAATTAATTGATCAATACATGTCAGAAAGGAGGAGCGTATCAAGTGTAGATTAAATGAAGAATATGCCCTTCGTACTTAGGTTATACCGAATACACTTAGACTGAACTCCTACGTCGAAGATATAGAGATGAACATATAGGATGTTATAGTAGTATTATAAAAAAAATGTATATTCATAAGGCTACTTGATCACGTACCTTGTAAACGTTGTGAAGGATCCCTTTTTCGTTATAATACGTCTATATATGTATTACTTCCAATCGCATGACAAAATATAAAACACTATTATCTGTTAAACATGATAAAACTAATACTAATATAAAATAATTCTGCCTAATACATACAATCCTGTTTTAAAGCATAGACTTTACTGATGTAACAATTTAAATATTTAAATTAGCAACAATTCAAATAATGCACAAAGCGTTTGTTTTTAATGTTAAGAGATATCAAAATTATAAAAAACCAAAAAAAAAAAAATATATCTTCAGTGAGGTCCATGATTTTATAGTATTATATGAAAGCATACACAAATGCATTTACATCTGTAATGTAATTGCACAAGTGTCTGATTATATCCTTGCAATCAGCCATGATTTATTTATGAAGATCCTCATTTCAGGGCATAATGTGCAATTCTAAAAAAAATTGTGCTTTATTTAAATATATATTTGTCTTTATCTCTTGTAAATTATCTTCTTTAATACACAGCATCATATTTTTAATTGAAATCATTTAAGAAAGCATATGAGTTCAACTCTTGTTTGGTGTGGTATATGTTTTTTGAAATCTTTAGCCTTCTATGTAATGTTTTGAGAACTGGTGTATGCTTTTTGTCGTTTTTCCTTCGTTCACGGTGTTGTCTATTTCTTCAACTAATTTCATTGTTCTAGGTATTATTTGTATCATTTTGTTTAAATATGATTGCAGACGTCACATTTTGATGTCTTTAACCATTTATCATATGTCATAAGACATATTCATGATGAGGTAGAACACTAAATAGAAAAGTAGGAATCTTTTCTAGAATGCTTGAAAAAAAAGTAAAATAACAAAAACACCGAACGCCAAGGAAAATTCAAAACGGAAAGTCCCTTATCAAATGGCAAAATCAAAAGCTCAAACACATCAAAAGAATGTAAAACAACGGTCATATTCCTGACTTGGTACAGGCCTTTTCCTTATATAGAAAATTGTGGAGTATACCTGATTTGATAGCTAACAAAACTTCTCACTTGTATGACAGTCGCATAGAATTCCATTATATTGACAACAGTGTTTGAGGAACACAAAAAGACATAATAGGTAAAATTGTCATAAATTGGGATACAACAGTCAACATTGTGTCATAATCTTAATCGCTATAAAAACAAACAACTATGTCAACAAGGAAAAACAAAATGGCATATAGACACTCTATAGACAAAACACATAAGCAAAAATGAATGATAAAAATACAATAAATGACTATAGCACAATAACACAATGACCGGATGTATAAATACCGACCCACGCCAAAAGAATATTACCAAAAATAGACTGAACAGTAAAGGTTAAAAAATATACAAATACAAATAAAAATAACACTATAACACGTAATTAAGATGACAAACAACACCAGTACCTAGAATCTAGACTTCAAGACAATCATGTATCATTTGTAAAGTTGATACGGAACATTTATCATCAAGTTCTAGGTATCTTCCGATGAACGTTTTTAGAAAAAGGACGGACGTTCCTTGAAATAACCCTGGTTCATCGACTTTCTACTCAGACACTGGTGACATTTTATGAAGTCTGAGTAGCAGCAAAAAGCTCTTGGCTACCGAATGGGTTGTCAAATGTATGTTCCATATGCAGATGAAGTTGGTATATTGCTGCTAAGATGGGGGCAATTTATAATTTGAAAATTAAAATCGTCTTGTTTGAAATAGATTTTGGTACTGAGATGACCGCTTATGTCAAATTTGAGGTATAAGTCTAAAATGAGGCAGAGCAAGCCTTGTCTGTTGTTTCTTCAATTTCTAGTTCTGGAGTATATATTGATAGAACCAAATCAGAAAAGTGTGGATTGTTAATGGAAAGAACATCATCAATGTACTTGAATGTGAAATTAATTGATCTGGCTTCTTTGATCTTGTTTTTTACAAGTGTCCGACGGATCTCCGACTCATATGAAAATAAGAAGGTGGTCGGCAAGGAGAGGCGCACAGTTCGTTCTCATAGGAATGCCAACAATTTGTTACAAAAGTCTACTTCCAAATTCAATAAAGTTATTGTCAATAAGAAAATCCAGCATACTGATCACTTGTTCCTCGATGTAGCATGTTTTACCTTTTTGTTCACAATTAACAAAATATGTCGTGTGATATTCCAAAGCAATACATTTATAGCGTATGCTTCCATTTTTATATTGAAAAGCATTGTGAATTATTTCTAATAGACAATTTTTCAATCTCACATGGGGAATGGTGGTATAAAGGGTTGAAAAATCATAGGTTTTGATAGAATTAATTTCAGAGAAAGATCGAGATATATTTATGATGTAATAAAACTAGAGGAAACACGGAGATAATATACGGAAGGGATATGTCTAATAGAAGTTATATAGAAATTGACCTCAGATGTAAATGAACTTTCTTTTAAATTTTTTGATGCAATTTTCTTTTTGAAGATTCAAATGAGTTAAACAAAAAAAAACCTGATCAAAATATTTAATAGGATATTAAAATGTGATGGTACGAATATACATGTTTATGCATTTAAAAGACTTTGTAAGGCCTTTTCAGAAGTCAAAAACGAAGGAATATAGTGATAACATCAACGGTACCAAGTTTACTCCACCAGATACGCATTTCGACAATGAATGTCTCCTTATTGACGCTAGGAGAAAAAAAAAGAAATATGAATTTAATATCATGACTATAGTATTTGACTGAATTTGAAAAGGAAAAAGTAATGCAGAATCAATTTTGTTTAAAAATTATTGTTTTGTGGGGAAAGTTATAAATAATGAACCTTGAAGGAAAATGTTGTTGAAAATAAAAGCATTCAGTTTTTCATCATGAAATAAAAATAGAGCAGTGCTGTTAGTACCACATATTTAGATTTAACAAATAAGTTAAACAATGTAATCTAATTATAAAAGTCAGCTAGGCTTTGTGAGTTCGTCCCTTTACATAATAATGATGTTTAAATGAAACACTATTTGTACTTGGGACTATTCAATAAGCAGTACAGATGGTTAAAACATACATGTATTGCAATAAGCATTTTTTGTGTATTTAATTGTGTTTTGCTTTATTTGGCTGTCTGGCAGACAGAGAATATCAGGTTCTAATGCAAATAATATCTCTAATTACCCTTGATAGTTAATGTTATCCTGCAATGCTATCATGTGCTGACAGTTGTTAAGGAGTTCATAGATAATACAAAATGTTTCAACCATCTAACCTTACAGTTCACATCAGGTACATGTAGATATGGGTTGTCTGTTTTCAAATCTGAATTCCATACATAATTTATATGCATAGCAATAAACTAAGCTTAATGCAAAGGACTTTAAAACTAAACTTAGATAGAAAGCTCAATTCAGTGATATACTTTGTAATACTGGCTATAATCATGATAACTTGAATAATTTACAACTGATTGTTACCAAACTGCATGAAGATTCTGAATTTTTTTTGTCTTTTTTGTCTTTTGGTTTGTTTTTACTCTAGTTCACAAATGGACCAATATATATTCATTGCATATATATTTATAAACAAATTTGTAGTTAATGTCTTTAAAAGGAAACGTCTGACAGTCTAGCAATTATGCTGTTGGGTAGAGAAATATTGGCAATTCAAAGGTCTAAATGCCCGGTAAGGGAACAACAGGTATACTCTGAGGAGGTGTTAGAGTTTTTCTTTTGGTCGTTTTCCTTTTTTTGCCATGGCATTGTCAGTTTATTTTTGACTTATGAGTT